AGCATCTACAAAGGTTGGGATATTACTCTGCCTAAGAAAAAGGAATTATTGATGAAGACAGAGAACTAATAGAGAAAAGAAATTACTCTGACATGCTTATTTTTTTTTTATTTTTTTTTTAAAAAAATCAGTTTTGATTTTTTTCCTCCCCTCCCACATTATTCTCTTTCCTACTCACTCTTCCCTAGGGATGGCAATGGGTCGGGTGTGGGTCGGGGAGGGCTACATCCATCACCCGACCCACCTTATATTTTATCCACCCACCCCCACCTCCAACCCGCATCGGGTGGACTTTTTTAGAACCCACCCCCACCCCCACCGGGTGCGGGTGTCCACTACAGGTACCCACCACTTATCATCTTATTATATATGTTTTTCAAAATAATATTTAAATTATTTACACATAATAAAAAAATAAAATCCATTAGTGATACTAAAACATAAATAATGGAAATATTTAAATATAATAAATAAATTGTTAATTTTTAAAAATAAACTTAGTAGTTTTGATGTAAAAAATAGTAAAAAGATATACGAAGTTATATAAACTATTATAAATAACTACATACTAGCACTACCAGGACTATGTGGTCTAATGGTATCCAGGTTGGACTTCTATTTGGAAGGTTGTGAGTTCAAGCCTCAAAAAAAAAAAACTACATATTATAGGGCCAGTAACTACATACTACAATGTATGTATATACACACACATGGTGGGTCGGGTGTAAAAAAACTACATATTAACAGATACTACAATGTATAATAGGGCCAGTAACATTCAAAAAAAAAACTACATACTAGCACTTATTTTACTTATATATATATATATATATATATATATATATACACACACATGGTGGGTCGGGTGGGGTTCTAGGCGGGTCTTGTACATAGAACCCGACCCACCGCGGGTTTTCTTTTTTAAGATCCACCACCCACCATCACCCAAAAAAAACCGATCCATGCGGGGTGGATTCGGGTGGATATCCACGGGTCACATTGAAATTGTCATCCCTACTCTTCCCTAATATCCCCCACTGATAAGAGCAACCACACCAATGCATAATGTGAAAATAATGTCAGAAATCAATGCCATGTGGAAGAGAGAGAAGCAAGAAAGAGAAAAATGGGGTGCTTCTGCAAATGTGGGGAGAATTCATAAATGTGGGGTCCACCATTAATTTTAACCATTCGTGACAGCCTGCACTGCACGCAGGCGCGCCTGACAGTAATTAAAATATTATTTTTTTTCATTTAATTTTTCTTTTTCCTTTTTTCTTTCTCCTCCCATTTTCTCTATCCTAATCACTCTTACATTATCCCCCATTCTCCCCAACTGATGCAGATGTTCTAAGGATGCTCTTAGAGCATCTATGTCAATGCATTTTGAGTAAGTTTTGAGGAGGCCAAATTTAGGTGAAGGAGAAAAAGAGGAGAGAGAATATTTGGGGGCATCATGTAGGCATTTGGTTTTTTATGGGTCCCGCGGCACAGAGAAAATGGAGAAGAGAACACATTATCGCGCATGGCACGCGCCGACTTGTGCATTCTCTGTTTGTTTGCTTCTTCTTCTTTTTCTTTCTTTCTTTCGCGTCATACCAATTTTTTCTCCTCTTTTTCCTTCTCTTTCCTTCTTCTTTCTCCTAATTGACATCTCAAAACCCAAAAAAAACTACTCCTAGTAAGGTTGGCTTTTAGTGCCTTTAGTTTTGTTTTAAATATTTCTAATCTTTTATTTATTTGCTTTATGGGGCAGCATTCCTCATGCCCCCGGCGCCCCCTTCATGGCTCTCAATTGTCGAGGTTTCTTTCCATGAATCTCGTATATTTATTACTTGAGTTAATATAATTTACCTTTATTTAAAAATTAACAAGGCATTTGGTTGAGAGGAGGGAATTAAAGAGAAAATGAGTTGTAATTCGTTAAAAAAAAAGAATAAAATAAGAATAAAGTAGAAATCAAATTATATTGTTTGGTATGAAGAAATATAATTATTGGGAATGTGAAGGGAAAAAATGATATAAAAATATTAAAATATCATTGTGTAATAATAACAGCAACAACAAGAATCAAAGGCAATTGTTTCTAAAAACAAAAAAAAAAAAAAAAAAAAAAAACAAAACAAAACAAAAAAACAAAAAACAAAAAACAAAAACAATCAAAGGCAATTTAGTTATTTTCATGTTTTCCCCTCTCCAAACTGCCACCGAATTGAAATTCCTATAGGATGTGTATGAATTTCAATTCAATAAAATGAAGGAATTATAATTCACTCCAATCAAACAATGTAATTTTGATGGGTGTTAAATTACATTAAAAATAATTTCAATTACACCCATGACCTAACAAAACACCCCATAAATGTGTACTTGCAACCCTTTACCTCTTTCTAAATATAGAAGTTTGATAATTTATTTATTTTTTTTTTAAACACGTTGAGTATTACCTATTTAAAATTCACAAACTCAACAGTTAATATATTGGTCAATCTGAGATTAAATTGACAGTCGAGAAACAAATTTGGGCAACCATTTCTATATATGTATACCCTTATAGGTCATTTTGTATGGTAACCGCTAATTTAAACAGCTAATTTTATTAAACGTCTTTTTACAAGTCACTAATACAATTCGTTAGTCAAACCCGCTAACGCAATCCGCTAACCACTAATTGTCAAACAGAACTGTTTATTCTTATGCATGGTTGATTCATTCCTACTACTTATCCCTATTTATTGTTTCACTTTAAATGGTTATTACTATTATGCCGCAGTTTTCCTTTTAAACTCTTCCTACATTCTTATTGGTTTACTATCTTTTATTTTAAAGATGATTTTACCATAGACCTATAAATGTAGAAAATATCTTCACCAAAAAAAAAAAAATGTAGAAAATATATTCATACGGACAAGATATGATAATTAGGTCAGTTATGGACAAGTAAACAACAGAACAACCTATGATGATTTTTTGAGCAAATTATACCATGATCCACCTTGCATTGCGAATCATTATTTAAATAACATTCAGATTATGTGTTTGCAATTAACCTATTATGTATATACAATTAACATATTATGAAGAAACAGAATATGTTAACTGCATGCACATAATATGCAGTTAACAAATTATTTGCTTGTAGTTAACATGTGCCTTTATTTTTTTACATACATATAATTTATTAATAAAAGACATTAGACATATAATATGTTAACTACAACACAAATTTTGAACCAGAGTTCACAATGTACGATGGACTCTGGTTAATCAATCCTTATACTATGGACCGGGGGTTCACAATGCACTGTGGCCCCTGGTGCATGTGTATGTATGTGTTTTATGTTGTGAGTTTTTGTGTTTTGTATTATGAAATTATGTACCTGAAATAAATAGTAATTGTGTCTTATGATATGAATCTATGTGTCTTGCGTTGTGAAAATTTTGTCTATGAACACAAATTATGTATCTAAATCAGATTTTAAAAAAATAAGTAAATATATAAGCATGGTTGCAGTAGCCGCTGGGCGCTAGTCGGGCGCTTGGGCAGCGCCTAGCGCCTAGGCGGGCGCCAAAGAAATAGTGGGAGACTTGCAGTCTGACAATTTTAATGAGGTTGTTTTCAACATTCAATCGAATAAATGAAATAATGATAACTCATAAGTCATAACATCAAAATAATATTAAAAAATAAAAATACTCAAATATGAAATACTCAAATACTTCAATCATCCAAAGATTCAAAGTATCAAACTAGTCTACGGACGGCTGGACCAGACGACATCGGAGGGTCAAAATCAAAAGAAATCGACTGACTCGACTGAGTTGGCCGCCTAGGCCAATTTTGACCGATTTCGCCGCCTAGGCGCCCAGTCAAGTTTTGGACGCCTAATAGTGAAAGCGGACCGGCCTAGGGGCGTCTAGCGGCAAACACATAATCTGAATGTCATTTAAGTAATGATTCGCAATGCGAGATGGATCATAGTATAATTTGCCCTAAATTAATTTCCCGCGGGGACGAAGATGAAGAATATTTTTAATTTCCCGCCAGAGACGGGAACGAGGATGAGGTCGCGGGATGGTGACGAGGTATTCCCCGCACCCCGCCCCGTTGTCATCTTTACTTCGAATAAATATATATTGTGAAATTTACTCCTTTAACTATTTATTAGTTTTCATATATGGTAAAGTAATAATATCAATAAAATTTGTTAAAGATCATTTAAAATATTACCTCAATAATATGGAAATTCTATAATGTGAAAAAAAAAAAATCATATTTACCATGGTATAAAAATTCAAAAAAATATTTATTATAAAAATTCAATCATATTTATTAAATATTTATTGTTTGATTTTCAGAATGTTATGGCATGTTTGGTTTCATGAAAATAATTTCTTGGAATTTTTGTTTCAAATTCGATGAAAAACAAATTTTACTTATTTTAGATCAAAAGGAGGGTGATCTTGCGAAAGACAAATTTTACTTATTTTGTTAATGGAGAATTTATTTCAGTGAAAAATAAATTTATATAAATTGAAAAATTTAAATTCTTTACTCTAATTTGGTACAGAGTATTTTATTTTTTCATACTTTTTTTTTAAAGCTAGGATATAAATTCTTTTATATATATATACCCTTAATAATTTTTAGTAGGTAATTTCTAATTAATAATATAGAAATTTATGTCAATTAATATGCAGTGTGGTGAAATATTATGTTGCCATTCTAAATGAATAGTCATATGACTCATATGAATAAACTTTGATTTGATGGTGGGAGCATTAAAAATAAAAAAGTAAATAGAGATTTATATTTAGGTAATTTTAATCTTAAATCCAATTCCTTTCAAATTAAGGAGTATTGTATAGGAAGCAAACGCGGTGTTAGTATTAATTGCATGATAATATAATCGCAAACGAGCTTGTTTATATAAGGGATTCGTTCGTTTTCAAAAAAAATATTAAGGGATTCGTTTTCAATTTGTAATCATATTCATACCTCGGGTTTACCATTACAGATTCCTCGAATCCCGGGAAACATTCACACCAACGAAAACCTGAATTGTTTTTTCGTAAATGCCGGTTGAATTTTCGGCGATCAGGAGGGCGGATGCTCTGACAGTCTGACTAATACAGTGTTAATTCCTTCCTGTAATCATAATCTTTTCGCTAGCGACAACGTTGGTAAACGCAAGTGAAGCTCATAAGTCGCTGGGCCCAGCTTCTTGTCTCTCATGCCACCGTCTAGGTAAGCTAAAACCCGCGCGTAAAAACGCCTGAAACAGATGACCCAACGGCCCCCCGTTTTGTTCTTGCCCAATTCTGGTTAAAAAATCTGGTGTCTTTTACTGTTGGGGATTGGGTTTTATTTCAGACTTTAGCTTTATAACGATTGGGGTTCTGGGGAATTTCGGGGGTGTGGGTTTATGGGCATTGTTGGTGTAACTCAATTTTCATTCAAAAATTTCGTGTCTTTAGCTATTATTTTTGGTTCTCAGAATTGGGTATTGGGAAAGATTGGACCTTGTGTGATTGTTAGGGTCATGTGGTTTATAGGCATTGTGTAGGGGTTTTTGGGTGATTGAATCATGCAGCTCGGTGAAGAAGGCGGTGGTTGTGGCGGTGGCGCTGGCGGTGATGTTGAGAAGCAGAGGTGCAAAAGGGCTAATTCAACAATAGGGTGGAGGTGCAAAGATAACGCCTTGGACGGTGGTGTTTACTGTGAAAAACACTTGATATGGCATCGCAAAGTAGCTGCCAAATGGAGGATGTCCAGGAATCGTAATTCCACTTCCGGCGCGGCGGTTTCCGGTGGTCGGAGTTCTAGTACGGCGTCTCACGGTGACGGCTCCGAAACGGAAGTTAGGCATCCGCAGAAACGGAAGCATGACGGAGTTTTGGGTTCTGAGAATTTGAATGTGGGAGTTAAGAAGAGGAATTTGGGTAATCTTGAAGGGATTGCCCTTAACCACCAAGGAGGGCTGGAGGAGGGTTTGGAGGACAATAAGAAAAATGCTGTCATTGACGAAACCGGGGAAATTTTAGTGCAATTTGTTGATGATTTTTGTGGTAATGGAATTGGAGGTGTAAAAATGGATGAGGGTGAAAGGGTTCATCTTGAAGCTAGTTCCAATGGAGGGGTTACAATTCAATCTGTTACTGGAAGTGTGGTTATTGAAACGAAGGACGAGGATCAATTGAATGTTCTTGTTGTTGAAGGTCATGACAAGTCATTTGTGAGTCAATCTACTGATACTTTATGCAGGAAGAGGAGGGGCAGACCGAAAGGTTCAAAGAATAAGAAGAAACAAGATGTAGGTGATGTAAGCAGAGATGTGATAAAAAGAGGGAGGGGCAGACCTAAGGGTTCAAAGAATAAGAAGAAAACCATTGTAGGTGATGAATCTGGGAAGTTGCTCTTGTTGGACAGCCAATATGGTGGTAATGAAGGTGGTGGTATGACTGTTGAAAAGAAGAACGAATATGAATCAGTGGCTGTTATTGTAACTGGAGAGGATGGGGGAGCCCTTAATGAAGTTGCTAATGGTAATGGAGATGGGATAATCGATGAGAAGGATGACCATGATTGGCCCAATGATCTAAGTAGCAAGAAAGTTTTTGCCAATCCAGGAAAGAAAATCGAGCAAGAGAACATGGCAATTGATAATGCAAAAGACGGGGGAACTAAATGTGATGTTGGGGATGAGGCTATAAAGTGGAAGAATGGAAATGAGTGGCCAAAGATCAAGAAACGTGGTCGTGGGCGACCCAAGGGTTCAAAAGGTAAGAAAACTCTGGCAGCTGAGATTGGTTGGAGAAAAATCGTAAATGAAAACCTCAGGCAGAAGAAAGGCCGGGGCAGGCCCAAGGGCTCCAAGAAGCGACTCCAACTGATTGCTACTAGTGAAGGCACCAATGTAGACTCTGGACTGTCCTTAGCTGAACCAGGCTGTGTTCATGAATTGGATCAAACAGACCCAACAACCTCTGCCATTGTGTTTGGAACATCTGCTTACAGTATGGAGGACAACCTTGGTGAGAACAAACAAAGAAATAACCGGACTTCACCCAGAATATCCGTGAGAATTAATTTTTCCTTCCTAGTTCTTGCAAGCTCTTTACTTTACCCTTTTTTTCATATAGTTTTTCTGTTTACTGTTTATTTTCATGTAAGATTGGTCTTGTCCTTTTTTTTATTTGATTATTTGACGTAATTCTTTTGCTAAAAAACGGAAAAACAGTTGCAGGATGCTATCAGTTGGAAGGATTATGGGGGTCTAATGTGCCATCAATGCTTGAAAAACAATAAAGTTGACATCATCATCTGCACAAAATGCAAAAAGAAACGCTACTGCTTTGAATGCATTGCAAAGTGGTGAGGAATTGCTATCTTCTTGTTGTGCCTTGTAGGAAAACAAAATGCTATTACCATTCCCCGTTGAACTGTACTTTTTGATTTACTATCTCCAAATATGAAGTTTGGCAACAATTGAATAGGTACCCAGAGAGAACAAACCAAGAAATCGAGAATTCCTGCCCGTTTTGTTGTGGCAATTGCAATTGCACAACTTGCCTTCAAGGGGATATACGAGCACAGGTCTCTACCCCCACTTTTGCCTTTTAATTACATTATCTTTAGTTTACGGGCGATATATAAAGTAACTTCATTTTTGTAGGCTCGCAAAGAGGAAGTTGATAAAGAAGTGCATTTGCAAAGGTCTCGGTATTTGCTGTTAAATATTCTGCCACTTCTCAGGCATATTCAAGAAGAGCAAAGGGCTGAGCTAGATGTTGAAGCCAGAATACGTGGTACAGGAAGTTGAAAGACTAAGAACAATGTGACCTTTGACTCTAAAATATGATTTGAAACATTTATGATGTCTTTGTCCTCTGATGTTTTCAGGTGTCCAATTGACAGAGGAAGATATAACAAAGTCCATAGTTGATGAGGATGACCGAGTTTACTGGTATGTGCAAAATTTACAATTAAAGACAAAAACTTCATCTAAAAAATGTATTTTTAGGGATTGTCTGCCTTCTACTAATTCACATAAGTCGGTAATGGGACATGAATCTTTATTTTACAGTGACAACTGCAATACGTCCATTGTCAATTTCCACAGAAACTGCCCAAATCCCGATTGTGCTTATGATATTTGTCTCAATTGCTGCCGGGAACTAAGATGTGGGTTTCCACCGGGACTTACTGAAGCTCAATCGAAGTCTGTTGAAAGACCAAATGATCATAATGCGGTTCTAAATAAAAAGACATCTTCAGATGTTGGGGAAAGGCCCGATGCTCTCTCGGGGAAACATGACACGTCTTCCCGATTTTGCCCTTGGAAAGCAAAAGCCGACGGTGGCATACCTTGTCCTCCTAAGGAGTGTGGCGGTTGTGGTTCTTCCATGCTAGCACTACGGTGCATATTTGAACCTAATTGGGTGAATGAACTAATCAAAGGTGCGGAGGAACTTACTTCCAATTGTCAGTTACCCGAAATTGATTTCTCGCAACCTTGTCCAATGTGCCTTACCGTCACTTCCGTGGGAAAGGGCGATAATAAGCATAATGTAAGGCGAGCAGCTTTTAGGGAGAACGGGCAGGATAATTTGCTGTATTGTCCTAACGCTATTGACTTGCCGGACCAAGAGTTTATGCATTTTCAAAGGCATTGGAGAAGAGGTGAACCCGTTATTGTGAGAAACGCGCAAGCCACGGCCTCTGGCCTCAGCTGGGAGCCAATGGTAATGTGGCGAGCTTTCAGAAACGCAACGAAAAAGTTGAGTGAAGAGAGTTTCTCCGTAAAGGCAATTGACTGCTTAGATTGGTGTCAGGTATGTGCTCGATTTGTATTCATGAAAAAAGATCAATTTCAGTTTTGAATATTAGGTAGTGGCTTTATATATAAAGTGTTGAATTTGGAAGATGGAATGGCCTGGCGGGTGGAGGAAAATGTATATAAGACTGATATATTAGTATTATTTTGTGTTTCTAACAAAGAAACATAGTACATATATATATATATATATATATATATATATATATATATATATATATATTCAAACACATAACTGTAAGTAACTACCCATAACTAACACTTATTCATAAACAGACACAACCCTATAGATAAACCTAACTCTTTATTTTTCAACATAAAGGAACAGTACTTTTAGTTTTGAGTCGGGCTAAAAATTCCGTTGTGTGATGCAGGTCGAGATAAATATTCACCAGTTCTTCAGGGGATACTTAGAAGGACGCAAGCATCGTAACGGGTGGCCAGAAATGTTAAAGTTGAAGGATTGGCCGCCAACTAATTTATTCGAAGAATGTTTGCCAAGACACGATGCTGAATTCATTTCCATGCTTCCCTTCCGGGATTACACCAACCCTAGATCGGGTTCTCTGAATCTCGCTACTAAGCTTCCCGATGGATCCTTGAAGCCGGATTTGGGTCCTAAAACTTACATCGCTTATGGATCAGAAGAAGAACTTGGACGAGGCGATTCTGTGTCTAAGCTGCACTGTGACATCTCCGATGCGGTAATCTGAAATCTGTTGGTTTATGATATATTGTTTTATCTCAACTTACGTGAACTGCTTCCTTAGTTTCTCAATTATGGCGGTTTTTGTTCAGGTCAATATACTGACACACACTACTAAAGTAGACTTCACTTCACGGCAAAGAAGAAGAATTGAGAAATTAAGGAAGCAGTTCGAAATCGAAGATTTGAAAGAGCTTTATGGCAGTGAAAATCAAAAGCATATGGAGTCCGAAACATCTGACATCAAATATAGTGGCGGGGGAAAATTTGATGATAAAAATTCTTGCTCGTTAGAAAATGGAAACAGCGAGAAGGAAGTTGAAGACCTAGAGCGGCTTCCCGGGATACATTCTGATTCTGGTACCGATTGCTCAGCTCTTCCAGAACCAGACATCACATTAACCGAACATCTTCTTGAAAGCAGTCAAGGTTGTCTGGATGTTGTACAAGGTGGTGCTTTATGGGACATCTTTCGTCGAGAGGATGTGCCTAAGTTAACAGAATATTTGCAGAAGCATTGGAAGGAATTTCGCCATATTAACAACGTTCCTGTGAATTCTGTATGTAATTGTTGAGATTACTGTCAGTTATGTAGCAGTTAATTGATTTTGAAACTTTAACCTGACCCGTTTGTTTGCTTTAGGTCGCTCATCCTATTCACGACCAGACATTTTATCTGAACGAGAAGCACAAGAAACAGCTGAAGGATGAATTCGGTAAGATACATATTCCCGTCTTCTTTGTCAGTTAGTTCGAGTCTTTTAGAAGTATATATGCACTAACTAGCTCGGGAATTTTTTTTCCTTTGTAGATGTTGAGCCTTGGACATTTGAACAATACTTGGGCGAGGCGGTCTTCATTCCTGCGGGATGTCCACATCAAGTTCGAAATAGAAAGGTGAAATTGTCAACTGAAATTATAACGTGCGTGTGTGTATATATATTTTCTCTTGAAACCATGTATCCATATTGTTAACAATGTTTATTGAATGTTGATCTTTTTCAGTCCTGCATTAAAGTTGCGGTCGACTTTGTATCCCCCGAAAACGTTCAAGAGTGCATCCGGTTGACCGAGGAGTTTCGCGTTCTTCCCAAATCCCACAGGTCTAAGCAAGATATATTGGAGGTAAATTGATTTGATCTTTATAGCTAGGCAGTTATAAATTTGCACGAAAAGGACTTGATTGCACAATGGATCATGTAGAAAATCGCCATTTGACGTGCCCTTCCTGTTTATAGGTAAAGAAGTTGGCGCTTTATGCCGCTAGCGTTGCTGTTGATGAGGCGAGGAATCTATTGATGGAACTACCGTAAGCTTTCTTTTGCTCGTCTTACGCTAAAATCCTCACAATATCCAATCGAATTCTATCCCCGCAAATGGATTTGATACATACATTGCGCAATTTGCATACACCGAACAATCTTGACTTTAAGCGGTTTTCTAATACAAAACGTCATAGTGTGTTATGACTTAGTCTGTTATTTGTTATTGGCCTAGTCTTGTGGTTTGGGTGAACGAATTACTTTGGTTCATACTCTCACATGGTATCAGAGCCAACTCTCAAGCGAGAATTTTTTCCCGCCGGTTGAAACCTATGTTCCGTATCAACTAAAAGTTTAAGCTAATAGTTAGACTGTACATTTATATTTTATATATTATATGCTCAACTGCCCTCTCCTTCAATCGTGTGTTGCAGGTCAAGAGAAGAAGATGAACATGTTGAAGAAGCTTTGCTTAATCCAAGCTTTTCCTGTTGAGAATATACATTTTTTGTTTACCATTGCTACATAGTATATGCAGTAATTCTCAGAGTTACAGACTTATAGAAGTCTTTCCATTCTGGGAATATTATGTTGTATATCAAAAACATGATTAATTTGTCCCTGAACTCTAGAAGTAGTTATGGTAGTTTTTTTTTTTTCTGGTTACCATTGTTTAATATGGTTATGATATGATGTGAGCCCTTAGTATAAATAGAAAATTGATTGATATTTTTCTTCATTATCTATAATGTTAAAAAAAATTATTTATTTACATTGTCATTCAGATGTGTTTTACAGTGCTATGAAAATGGAATATATTATTTGTACTAAATTTGATGCATGGGTTGCATTTTCAAATCACTAATTGTTGGGAATTAAAAGTATTCTTTATAAAATATTTACTAAGCTGATTGAATTAGTGGGTTTGATTAGTTGATAGCATTAGTTGGTTGTAGAAAAATGTTTGGCAAATTAACTAATAGTTGATTACATACAAAATGATTTTATCAAAAAGTTGATCAGAAAAATGGTTTTGAGCAGCTTTTTGAATTTTAGTATTTTGGAGCAATAAACTGTTACAAAAAATTAATTAACCAAACACTCATATTAGTTATTTAACTAAGTCAAACAGCTAATAGTGATTAAACAAGCAGGCCAAAATTAGTTAATATGCTAACTATTTTACCAAAAATGACTGGTTGTTTAACTAAGTCAAACAATTAATAATGATTTAACTAGTCAAAATTAGTTAATATGCTAACTATTTTACCAAACATGACTAATGTATTTTTAATTGGGTTATGCCAAAATGCTCAAATTGGATGTTCCAAAGAAAAGAAAAATGCTGAAAATGGAGCATTGTAAATATGCTAAAAATATTCACTTTATGCTAAAAGTACTTAAAGGAGCATTATTTGATAATGTTCTTTTAAAAAAAAAATTATTATTATTATTTTATAAAAATCATTTTGGATATGCTTGGTCCCTATGTAGCACTAAAACGGGGAACAAAAAGTAGAAACAAAAGTGTAAATATAAAATAAAATAAAATATTATAGTATAATTGTAAATTTTTTTTTTGTTAATATGCATAAATATTAATTATTTCATAATTAAAAATATTGTATTAATAAATAAAAAGTAGTGTGCCAACTCACTAATAATTAGTAAAAAAAATAAATATGATTTATCACAAAGATAACTTAAAATAATAAATATAATGTCTAAACTCTTAATTTGTAAATTTAAAAAATTAAACCTTTTAATTATTTATGTTTTCATTAACATCTTATGAGTAAGTGTCAAATGAGTCACCAAACTTAACGTTTCTGTATAATTGGATTATTGAACTTAAAAAAAAAAAAAGTGAAATTGAACTATCAAACAAGTAAAATATACGTAATTGAAACATTTTTGTGATTTTTTTTAATGCAATTTATGTTGAAAACATTTTAATATTTCATCCCAACTAGTATGATAGAGGAAATGACGATTCATAGTACATGTTATCTAAGTAATATGATCAGATTGTATTGATTTTTTCAAAAAAAATGTACCAATTGCGCATATTTTACTTATTTAACGATTTAATTACACACTTTAATTTCAATGTCCCAATTGAACTAAGTAATAAGTTTTGTGATTTATTTAACATTTTTTTACGTACAAAATGTATACTGATCATGCTCATCTAAAGATAAGTTTGCAAGTGAAGAATACTAATATCTTCTATGTTTATGAATTTATCATTTTATCTTCACCAATATTTCACATTGTTTTCGACCTATGAAGCACAATTTTGAATATCTTTTAGCTAGGCAAGAATGAAAAAGAGAAGGTTGGGTACTCGTTTCAGGTTTTTTTTTTTTTTTTTTTTTTTTTTTTTAAATAAATTCAGACCAAAAACATATTTCTCATCTAAGAAACAAATTTCAAAATTTTTATTTAATTAGGAAACAACCCAAAATTTTCTTGAATCTTTTGATTAATTAAGAAATCGCATGAAAACGTTAATTAAGTAATAAATGACCTAATTTTTTTTAAAAAGAAAATTTTTAATTTTGTCATATTTTACATGTCATGTTTACTTGTTCTTCTTCATTTTTCTTTTTGGTGTTTAGTAGTATTTTAATATAATTTCTAAATATATAAATTTTATATATTAATATTGAACTAAATATTGCAAAACAAAATTTTTCATTTAAATAAAAAAATATGTTCTTTTTAGATTCTATTATTTATATTTATGTGCTAAAATATAAATTTAATATGAAAATATTAAAAATAGTGCTACAAGAATAAATGGTCATCATTAAATTTGCTAATGAATACCCATTAGGTGGGTGTAAATCACTTTTTATTTTACTTTTTAATTAATTAATTAAAATGGATTAGAAAAAAAAAGGCATTAAATCACTTTTTTTGTTGCCAAAAAAAAAAAAAGGATTAGAAAAAGGCATTAATTGGTGCAGCCTAGACAGCTATGCCATTATTTAAATGAAATATTCAATATCTCATCAATCAATATTATGATATTTGTCACTTTTTAAAACTATTCTATAAACGTATAATAATTATGGCAATATTGTATAGAAGATAAATGAGGACCGTTAGATCGTGCCCCACCCTATAGGCGCTACCTGAATTCAACGGCGATCCTCGTCTCTCTCTGCTCACATCAGAGAAACTCGGAGAGGGGAGAGAAGAAGAAGAAGGGGAAGAAGAAAAGAACCTCCTTTTCAGGGCAAAAGGGGCTCCGTTTGGTTCTTCGGAATCGATCCAAATCGATCTCTCTCTCTCTCTCTCTCTCTCTCTCTCTCCATTCTCCATTCTCCATTCTCCATTCTCCATTCTCCATTCTCCTTTCATTTTCTTTTGATTCTTCTTTCTCTGTCGCGTATTCTTCCCACCAGATCAGAAGAAGAAACCAAAAGAAATTGAAAGAAGGAGTTCAGAAATTTGCAGGGGGCGATCTCTGGAGATGAATTGAGGAAAAAGTTTTGAATTTTTTCCTCCAATTCGAGGAGTGGGCTTTTGTGATAATGATGGAAATCGATAGCATTGAGTGCGTATCCTCATCGGACGGCATGGAAGACGAGGAGATCGCGTCGTCTCATCACCCGCATCCGCACCATCAGCAATACAATTCTTCCGCCAAGCCTCACAGTAAGATTTTGCCTGCCGGAATTGGCCCCACAAGTGTCCATGAATTGCTCGAATGCCCTGTCTGCACAAATTCTATGTACCCTCCCATTCATCAGGTTTCTTCTCTTACTACCTTTTTCTTCATCCTCTTTCAATTCAAATTTTGATTTTCTTTTTTCCTTCTTTCAATTGTATAATTCGGAATGCAATATACCCTCTGTTATCTAGTGTTGGTGGTTCTTGAGTTATTTTTAATTCAATTTTTCATAATATTAAGTTGAGTATTAGTATATAAAATTTATATTTTTAATATTAAAAAATTACACTAGAAATACTATTAAACATAAAATATCAAATTTTAAAATAAGTAAAAATTAATAAAGAAAATAAATAAAAGGAGAAAAAGTTGATTTGATCAATGAATAGAAATAACAAAATAAAATGGGACAGAGGTAATATTTGATTTCCTTTACTTTACCCTATTTTCTCTCTTCTTGGGTGGTCTAGGGGTGGCAATTTCAATCTGCTTGACGGATGTTCACCCAAATTCACTTCGTATAGATCATGATTTTTTTTGGGTTATAGTGTTTGTTGGGTTGGGATGTGTCTTAAAATTTAAACCCGACCTAGATCGGGTTCAATACAAGACTCGCCTAGAACTCCAAATGACCCACCATATATATATATATATATATATATATAGGACAATGCTCTTTTCTCCTCCTAATTTTTCCCTCCAAACTTCTCCCATGACGTGACTTTTATTCATTGGGTGCTAATGAATTGGTTGATCCCGCAACTAATTTAAAAATAAATTTAACGACCTATAAGATAATGCCCCATTAGAAGGGAAAGTTTTTAGGGGAAATACAAGAGAGATTTATAGTATTGCTATATATATATATATATATATATATATATATATATATATATATATATATATATATACAAGTAAAATAAGTAATAGTATGTAGTTAATTATTAAAGTTTTTATAACTTTTTACTTTTCTTTTTAGTTCTAAATTAATAAATATATTTTTTAAAAATTAATGATTTACTCCATAGTTATTATGTTTGAATATTTTTATTATTTTAAATAAAAAATAATAAGTTGTGGGTACGGGTGTGGACACCCTCACCCTGTGGGGTGGATTGGTTTTGAAAAAGTCTGCCCGATGCGGGTCGGGTGGTGGATGTAGCCTTTCTGATCCACCATCGACCCATTGCCATCCCTACTTGGGCCTCACATCCTGCCCCGCAGGATTTGTGAAGGATAAATCACCGTGACTCTCCCTCCCTTGAGGTTGGAGCTACCATGGTACCACACTCACAAGATTGTGAAACTCCCGCGTTGCAATTTGCAAAATTCAATCCTACGTCATTGCCCACAATCTGTTAGTCAGCAATTAACTAACTAAGCTACCTGTGTGGGACTCTTTTTTCTCTTCCTTGTGTTGAGAGATGGGGGAGAGAAAGTTGGCTGATGGCATGTCATGATGGCAAATAGCATGTTTTTACCAATAGAGTTCCATTATAATCTATGCTTCTGTGCTGTACCAATTGGCTGGGTTGAATACATAGTTTTTGTTCTTTATGATAGTATGAACTCTTAGCATCCATTGTAGATATATGGTGGAGAAAATAACCAAATATGATATATTAATATATTGTTGTTTGTTTATCTGGTGAGAGTTTGATGATTTTCCTTGCTGCAATTATGCATCTTTAAGGATCAATATTGAAATTGATTGTTGAATTGATCTTTGGGTTGCAATTCATTCCTAGTCAAGTTGATGCCAATTCGCCCTTTTGCAGTGTCACAACGGGCACACCCTCTGTTCGACCTGTAAAACAAGGGTGCACAACAGGTGTCCTACTTGCAGACAAGAGCTTGGTGATATTCGGTGCTTAGCACTAGAGAAGGTTGCAGAGTCTCTTGAACTGCCTTGCAGATATTATTCGTTGGGATGCCCAGAAATATTTCCATATTATAGCAAACTTAAACATGAGACAGGCTGCAATTTTAGACCATATAACTGCCCATATGCTGGATCAGAGTGCTCGGTCACTGGGGACATACCTTATCTGGTTACTCATTTAAGGGATGACCACAAGGTTGACATGCACACCGGATGCACATTTAACCATCGATATGTCAAGTCCAACCCTCGTGAAGTAGAAAACGCCACATGGATGCTGACTGTAAGTGAAGCTCTTTCTTAGTTTCTTATGTTCTGTTGAATGGTATTAGAATTGTGAACATCATATGATATTTTTTCCCTTGATATGCTCCCTCTATATTAGACACCATTTGGCCAGTGTAAGGGTCCCCCCTTTTTGTCTTATCCAAAGTGCCTAACAACACTAACAGCTTATAATGCGGATGTTGTTGACATTGACTAACAATTCTATTGATGAATTTGAGAACTTTGTTGAGTAATTAGAAAAACTTGGGGAGCTAAACTTAACTATGGTTGTTTCTTTAATTCTACAATTCTACAATTTTAGGAATTCCCTACATAAGTAGATTTGTTGAAGTTTGTGTGTCTTCTTTCCTCTGTTAGGTCTTCCATTGTTTTGGTCAGTACTTCTGCCTGCACTTTGAGGCCTTCCAGCTTGGCATGGCCCCTGTTTACATGGCTTTTCTCCGGTTTATGGGTGATGAAACCGAGGCACGTAATTACAGCTACAGTCTGGAGGTAGGAGCAAATGGTAGAAAGCTGATATGGGAGGGCACTCCAAGAAGTGTTCGGGATAGCCATCGCAAGGTCAGGGACAGTCACGATGGCCTTATTATTCAACGTAACATGGCACTTTTCTTTTCTGGCGGGGACAGGAAAGAGCTGAAACTTCGAGTTACAGGGAGGATATGGAAGGAGCAACAGAACCCAGATGCTGGAGTGTGCATACCAAATCTCTGTACCTAATTTGCATTCAATTTTTGGAGTAACTGTTTTCTCTACCCTCATTAATGTGCATGTGTGTATCTCTCTACTCTTTATCTTGTGCTCTGTACCTTAGAGTAAAGTTCTGCTGTCAATGTATAGGAGGCTGCATATCTGCCATTGCTGAACTGAAGCTCTAGTTCTATCAATTTTCTGAGAAAACCCTTTTTCTGTATGACAACAATTTCTGAATGCAATGGAAGAAACAAGAGTTTGGGGCATCTGAATTACTTTACTACTTGCTGTTTTTATTAATTCTTCCATCCTATGTTTAAGGAAACAAACATCCATTGCTGCTGATGAAACACAGATTCCATTCCACATCCATATATCCAACACTAACATCATTAACCATTCTCAAACTTTCAAGTTTCAAACCAACAGGATTAGGGTAAAGTGGTTTAAGAAGCAAAAACTCATAATGCAATTGGAACTGACAACATTAGTACAAAGTAGTTTCACAAACAAAAACTAACACATGATTAGTAAGTAATTTTATTTCCAATCTGAACTAGTTACATGATTATAATCTTTCATGCCACAAATAAACTTGACACTCAAGAAATCTGTTGGATTCACTGCTCTTAGAACCAACTAGTCTGTTCTTGGAAAGAAAGCGATTTGTTTAGGCTTCTTTTGATAATCTTAAACCCAGGGCCAATGTACTTGGAAAAAAGGCAAAATCTTGTATGGTTTAACCAGTCTTCTGTGTTCATGCTGTGGTGTGCCCAGTTGTGGCATCACCACTAGCATTTGACACTGCATCAGCAATCTCCTCTTCTCCAATCTCTACTGCCTCAGCAGAATTCACTGTTGAAGCTGCTGATTGATCTTCAGGTTCCTTCTTTCCAAACAATCTGGGGGTGTTCAACAAAGCATTAACTGCTTCTCTGGTACTGGCCTTTGCCCTTTCTGCTTCTTCAGCAACCTTAGCTGCAGCTTCAGCTTTCTCCCTTTCTATGTCTTCTATAAGCTTTGGCAACTCCTCTTCTCTTCCTTCTTTCCTCAGCTCTTCTCCAACAAATTCTTTCAACTCATCAGTAAGATCAGTTGGGTCCTCCCTTAACACCCTATCCACAATGGCAAGCACCTCGTCATGCTTCCCGATCTCAAACAATGCATTCATCATGAACTTGTACTCATCATCCTTCATTCGGAGCTTCCCCATCATCATATCAAAAAACGATTTTGCTTCATCAACCTTCCCAACTTTAACCAATCCTTCAACCAATCTATTATACACCCCAATATTAGGCCGCAGCTTTGATTCAACCATTGTCTTAAAATAATGAGCTGCATCATCAGGCCTATTTTCCTTGAAGCAAGTGTCCATCAACAAAACAAATGTAGCCTCATCAGGGCTCACTTTCTTCTCTGCCATATCCTTGTAAAGCTCCTCCGCCTCGCCCAACATATCATTATTGCACAAGTGTTCAATCAGATTATTATATGACATTGTATCTGGGCTACACCTCTTTGCACCCATTGACTTGAAAACATTAATAGCATCAGTGAATTTCCCTTCGGCACAATAACCATCCACCATCACATTGAAGCTCCCCAAGTTAACAGTCAATGTTTTGGGAGGATCATGCTCAGTCATCATCCTATCAAATAGTTTCAGAGCCTCATCAAACTTGCCATTCTTGCTCAATGCATCTAAGATGTGATTAAAAGCCACGGCGCTCATCTTAATTGTGGAATTCTCACCCACAGCTTCTGCATAACACTCCATAGCCTTCTCCTCCATTCCCCTCAAGAAGTAACCTTTCATCAAGCTGCCATAAATCACTCCATCAGAGACAGAGCCTCCCAATTTTTCCTTCAATTCTTCATAAAGATTGAAAATGCTATCAGCGTCTGAGTTGTTAGCTTGAGCAGACATCAAATAGCTATACACAATGGGGTCCGCTTTGAATCCCTTGGATAACATCTCTTCCTTCAATTCAAGTGCCTTTTCAATCTTATTGTTATCGACGAGACCCTTGATTAAAATCCGGTAGGTGGTGGGCGAGGGGTTGAAGGGGGCATCATTTATAAGCTGCTTGTAGTGCTCCATCGCTATATCGGTCTTGCGGCAATCCATGTAGGCGGAGAGAAGAAGGTTGTGCGTGACAATATTGGCGGCGACGCCGGCCTGGGTGATGAAGCGGTGAAGCGATAGAAGGTCAGCGTAGCGCGATTGGCGAAGCTGCGCTGCCATGACGGAATTACAGGTGAAGATTGTGGGGCGGCAGTTGGAGTAGATAGAGTGGCGAGTGAGAAGCGCGGCTTCCTCCAAATCATTCTCGCGGATCAGCTTGAGAATGCGGTTGTGGAGGTTGAGCCGGTTCCCGGTCAGCACCGAGACGGTTTCGGGGATTTTCGGAGCATTGGGGTTAGGGTTTTGCGGGGTGGTGGGGCGAGGTTGCTGCTGCTGCTGTTGTTGGCGAAGCGCGGAAATCGGAGGCTCGATGCGAAGGCGGCGCTTGCGTTTACGGCGCTCGGCGGCGGCCTCTTCCGGGGTGGCGAATGAGAAGAGGCGAAGGCATAAGAAGCTCGGCGGCGACGGTTGGGGCAGGAAATGACGTCTGGTTAGGGTTCTAATGTGGTGATTGAAGGATGAGAGTTTCGAGAGCGCCATTTTACCCTATACGAGAGGGAGAGGGAGAAGGAGGTGCGCAGAAATGTATGTTTAGGGTTCTGCCAGGGGTTTAGCTGAATTGGAAGACTGGGAGTGAAGAAGAAGAAGAAGATGATGATGATGAATTGATGATAATGGGTAAATGGGCCGGATGCTTTAAATCCCTACAGTAAAGGCCCAATATTATATCCAATTGATTTTACCCAAACAAACAAACTAACTTGGCCCAATTTGTAGAGGTGAAGTATATTCCTTTGATTCAATTGTTACACCATCGGCCATGGTCGGTCTTGCATTATTGACCATCGTTCAAAATACATTTAGATTATATATCTACAATTAACATATTGGCCTTGTTTGGTAAATAGTTAGCCTATCAGCTAATTTTAGTTTATTTGACCACTATTAATTGTTTGATTTGGTTAAAAAATAATATAAGTGTTTAATTTATCAATTTTTTGTAACTCCAATTAAAATGCTAAAATTTAAAAAGATACTCCAAACAACTTTTTCAATTAGCTTTTTTAAGAAAAGAAATTATAACAAACAGCTATCCGTTAACAGTCAATTTACTGAACACTTTTTTACAATCAACTAATATTATCAATTAATTATATACTCTAATTAACCTAATCAGCTAACAGCTAACATCCATTTACCAAATAAGGTCATTATGTATTTTCAGTTAATAAGTTATGTATATATTACAATTAATATTTTAGGATCTCAAAAGTGGTTGGAAAAATGGTAAGAACCATGGTCAAAGGGTTTAAGAGTATTTTGTTTGTTGATTTTAACACTTATTTGTTTGATGGTTGTGTGTAAGGGCATCCTCAATAATGGGGTTTCGGTGTGATTTTTGAGGAGTTTTTGTAAATGTGATTAGGAAAGAGAAAATGGGAGAAGGAGGTTAAAAAAAACAACCAAATATAAGCAAAATTCAAAAAAAAAAAAAAAAAAAATTACAGCCTCTAAACGCGCCCCGTGGATGCGTGCACGAATGTGCAGCCCACGCACAACTTGCATCTTTCTCCTTTTCTTTGTGCGACCCACACAAAGGAACAAAGCTGACAAATTATTATTTTTTCTTGCAGGAGAAAGAAATCTCCAAAATCCACCACTCCCATTTGTCAAAAGCTTAGCAAAGGAGATCTTACTGTTCCAAAAGTTATGAATGAAGCCTTATTGGGGTTGCGCTAAGTGACTTGAAAGTGTTGATTGAAAACTTGTTAAGAATTGAGCTTCATTGAATGAGATTTTAAAATCTTAAAGCATTAGTCTAATGATTGAGATATCTCACTTAACATTTATTTTCAATCAAATGGTTAATTCATGAGATGCAGAATATAGTCTGGTGAAATAAAAAAATCTTCTATTATGAAAAATAATACTCCAATAAAAAGTGTTGGGGTGCCATATTAAAAAGTGTTGGCACATGAAAAAGTTTTGAGGTTGGCGTAAGGACTAGTGTCGTGGCAGCAGTGAGATTGAGTAATGGACAGCGAGAAAATTAGCTATGGTTAATCATCAGATTTAGAGATTCTCTGATTTCGCCCACAAAGTCTCACCTCTAATTTCTCCTTAGGTTGAATGCATTTGTACGATCAACTAATCACAATTAATTCCAACATTCAAAACCCTCCACCTTAAAAATGGAGGAGGGTGGGGGACTACTCCATGTGGGGCAACCACGCAAGATACACAACACAAGCTTTTGACTTCAAGTATATCATATTGTGATTCTTGTGTAAAATAAATTCAATACGTTAGTAATTCTGATACTAAATTAAATTATACGAACAGAAGAACAAAAATGTAATTGATAAGCTTGTGAGTTAGTACTGCACAGGGACTTTGAATAATTTAAAATTTCATTCATTCTTGATATAATTGTATCTTAAATATGACTTCAATATCTTACTTACAACATAACATTGCAGCTGGAACAGGGTGAAAAAAATAAAATACAGAGATTACAATATGGATCTTTACTCTTCAGTCAGATTGGCAACAAGGGATTGGAATTATTTGGGTGTGGGAATGAAATACTACTCCATTATATCCAAGTTATGGAATTGGAGAAACTGTAACATCTATATATTTATATTTATATATATTGCTAGCTCATCTACTGAGCCCTGACAAGTATGCCACTCCAGTTGAAGGCAACCATGCCGAGCCATAGATGAACTGAGAAACTGTGAACTTATTTGCTTCGGTCTCTAGCTTGATGACCCGATACCCGGGCCACTTGACTCGCTGGGCGAGCCCAGCGCCCGGGCCCTTGTTCATGTACTCGCCATAGTACAATGTACTAAGGGCGAAATTCCCACTCCACTCGAGCCAGCCCCGGGGGTGGATGTGATCCCCCATGTTACATAACATGTAGACGGTCCTGGAGTACATCTTCCAGGGCCGTCCTAGGAACGTGGGGATGCTACCCTTGGACGCCTCAAGGTCTGAGGTTGCCAGGATGTTGCTGGCGTGGATTGAGATGCCGGTGTTCTGGTTAGGGTCCTTGCGGTTTTGTGCTGTGATGGTGTTCTTCTGATTGGACATGGGCTTCCGGGCATAAATGTTGCATTTTTGGAGGACCACGGCGGCGTTGCCGAAGATGAAGTCTACCGTCCCGTAGATATCACATTCACGGTAGAATTGGCGTTGCGAGTGGACGTAGAGGGTGTCTTGATACCCGATGATTTGGCAATGGTATATCACGCCGTGATCGGCGCCGATCCGGAGCGCCACCGCCTGATGCTTCCCTGCCCCAGCCGTGTTTTGGAACGTAATGTCCTTGGCTATGAAACCTGTCCCTGTCGCGGCTGCATATATATATTATACACAAAATATTATTACCCTATATTAAATGTATAATATATATTGAACAGATACTATAATGTAATAGAGTCAGTAACATTCAAAAAAATGTATAATATATAAATATATTTTTTAAGCTATGAAATGAATGTTGTGGTGGTCACCAAAATGGAGTGGTTGTTCATAAGCTATCGTCACATCGCTTTCCCTATATTCTATAGCAAATAGAGTGAGGCTCACAATGCCACTATGCCAATATCATATCGCATATTGGGGATAAGGAAGCCAATACCATGCTGCTCACGACGCACATGATAACACTAATCCGCATACGACACAAAAGTTAGGCCAAAATTGAACTAACATCTCTCATATTTCCTTTCTACACTAAATATGAGAATTCAATAGGCCGGAAAATTTTGGTTTGGTTTCTTCTCGATCTAATGTCTAATAAGTAATAACGTGTTTGACTTGGCTCATTTTGAGCCAAACACCAAAGCATCTAAACCCCTCTCTTGGCCGTCCAATCTTGTAGTGAAAAGAAAAGTTTTGCTAAAAGGCATAAAGAAAAAAGGGTGTCCCAAAAGCTAATAAGCATAAATGCAATTAAAATATAGAGAATAGAGAATTTACCGAAAGATGCAGTGTGGAAGGTGGTATATTGTCCCACACTTCTTCCACCAGAAATGACGGTCTTGCCCTTCCCGTCTCCGACTATCATCACGTTGGTTTTCTTCTTCCCCACTTTGAGATTAGCTTCATCGTACCTGTGCAATTTTTTAACCATTATAATTATAATTAATCTTAAAATAAAATTATCAATTTCTACCGACAAATTAATCTCTCATTATTTCAAATCCGACAGTCGCTAATTAAATTTCAAAGTGCACGTAATTGTCAATCATATCATCAATTTCATCCAATTAGCGAATCCACATCGTAATCACCATTTGACTGACTTCAATTACCCAATCACTATTGTTCCACTTGCTATGTAATCACGATTAGGATAGCACCATCAATTATGTTGGGAAGAATAATAAATAAAAGTCTACATAGACAGTTCACCTGGTTATAGAGATAAAAGTTGGGAAGAATAATAAATAAAATTAATTTTAATATATGATTATAATTTTATATATGAAAAAATTTATAATATAAAATAATAAAAATATCGTTCACTATAAAAACTGTGACAATGCGACGGTGATATTTTCTTTATTTATTTATGGTATTTATATTTTTATTATTCAGTATTGTAAAAATTTTTAAATTCTATATATTATTCCATACTTTCTTATTAATTATATATATAATGAAAAGTATTGTAAAAAGTGAGTAGAAATTCCCTTCTTTATCGGGAGAGAAGGGTAAACTTACACTCCTGCCTTGATGTAAATCACGATCCGGCGAGTGCTGTGCTCCGGCACCTTCTTTATGGCCTCGGTGATCGTCTTGACAGTTCCGGTGCCGTCCTTGGCCACAATTATATCGGCGTGAATTGGAGAAACCGGCGTCCCGAGTAATTTCCGGTCGCTTTCCGATAACCATTTGGGGAAGTCATCGTCGTCGGATGCGAGAACAGCGTCGCGATGATCCAACAATTTGCGGCGGTGCTGTATAGGGACGCCGGAGAAATCGTCGCCGCCGTTTGTGGCTGCGAAGATCGCGAGGGAGTTGCTCACAAGTTCGGACAAGTCCTTCAACCTCTGCGTCACTTGATCCTTCACGGGGCCGTTAGCGTCGGAGAATCCTTCCGTACACGTGTCCTGATTGGTGAGCGCGGCGCTCAGCCACGTCATCACGTCCTGAGCGTTCGCTCCGCCGCCGCCGCCGGAGAGGATGGAGCTGAGGGAGCGGTCGAGGAGGTCAATCGAATCTTCCAGAAGCTCGAGGCAATCGTCGTAGGCGGAGCGGACGAGATTGCTCATCTGAAGGTTGTTATAGTCGGTGACGGTGTACAGCGCCTTTCCGACGCGCTGCAGAGTCACGTTGACGGAAATGTGGACCAGATCGCCGTCCGTCGCCGAGAGCGCGCCGGGGAAGTCCAGTAGCGAGCTGAGGCAGAGACTAGGGTATAGCGTCTTGCCACAGGTCCGCGCCATCGCCTGGCTCGGCTTGGCGGTTATTCTGTCCCCGGAGCCTCTGCCGCGTACGCCAACCAAAACCCCCACCGAAACGGCGGCGGTAACAATGAGCACGGCGGCGACTATGACGAGAAGCTTCACCGTTGACTTCTGCCGACTTGACGTGGCTTCATTTGATTGGCCGTCTTGCAGAA